AGTGATTCTCAGGACTTCACAGAAGTCCGAGAATCTTCTCTACCTTGAGCTGTCACAGCCTTATTCTATGTGCAATGCATATCTACAGGGAAATATCAAAGAAATCTTACTGAACATGTTCTACAACCCATAGCTACCATAAGACCCCTTTTTCATTATTTTATAATCTACTTAAGTGTTGCCTTCTGAGACCAACAGTATAGTAGCAGAATAGACAGGACAAGACTGGGATATGTAAGGGTCAGGATCCTCAAAAGAGCTAATATATTTATACGGTCATAAGTGGAAATAATGTTTTAGCTGGCTATGGGAAGCAGTCATAGAGGCAATTGTGGTCATGTGCAGTCAGTGGCATAGTTTGCTATGTAAGTTTGACAGATAAGCTGTGGCTAAATCACCTTTCCCAAAGAAAGCCTACTACTTACTGAGTATTAGAAACTAGCATTAGTTACACTGGGTCTGCTCAAACATTTTAAGTACAGGTATGTGAGCTTGATAAATCAATAGGATGCTTTACATAGCACATAGAATTCCTTCCCTTTACGTACAAATCCAAAGTGCATTAGAGGTTTCCTGAAGAGCCTTCATCAGTGATATCTGACAGTAATCAATGGCTAGCTGTTTGTGGAACAGTTAAAAGATTTCCTAATATGTAAAATGTTTCAAATTGTAGAATCATAAAATAACCCCCATGATTAACAATTTTTAATTACTTTTAGCTTTTAAGTGTACTTTGTGTGCTAGTTACCTGTGCACAAATAGGTAGTTTTTCCTGTAGCATTAGGTAGTCTCAACACATTTGACATTTCAAAGCTGTCATTAAACTGCCAACAAAACAGCATTATTTAAAAACCTGTGGTTTGTCTGCAATAAAAATTGTATTTTGCCATTTCTGTTCATTACTAAGGTAAATTATCTGCACAATTGCTAGCACAACCAAATGTTTCCTCTTAACAACCTCCTCTTAAGATATTCCAAAATGATAAACTTTAGAGTGATTAAAGTTTCCTTTGCTTTTCTTCGTCCTTCAGAAGTTTGAAATGTTACTCTAGGTCTTTGTTCTCCAGCTTGTAAACTGTAAATACCACTAGTAACTCAAAAATTAGCAGAACTTTTTCAACTGAAGTTAAATAAATCAGGATTTTCCACTTTGTTTTTTAATCTTTTCCAACATACTTCCTTAGCAAGTTTGAAATTTTAAGCAGGCTCTTATCTCCTCTCCATACAAAAGAGAAATTTGTATGCTGACTCAACCTTTCTCTTGTCTCTGTATTATATTACCACAATCTTTGCTGCAAAGACCTATGCCAACTAAAGTCTAATTTGACAGGAAAAGAGAAAGCTGTTGCTTTAATTTTCATTACTGTCTTGAGGTTAAGTGTATCATTAATGTTTTACACATACTAATTGCTCTTTAGTACCCTGTCTTTATACATTCCTGTGTTAGCATAACTAAAATTTTACAGTCATACAAATGCATATTTTGGATGAGTATCTTTGGTATATGATTAATATGTTGTCTTACAACTTGACAGAATCAGAGGAGTTCTCACATGTTTCTTTAATGATTTACCTTCAGGTTCCAAATTAACCTTGAAGTCACAGAAAAATTGTCCAAAACTACCATGTTTGCAACATCTGTACAAAGGACCCATTAGAAGCGGGAAACCAAACTCATCTTCGCGTGGCTAGTCAGTCCTCTATTTCCCAGACAATAAATCTCCACAATAAAACTACCTCCACTAAGCATCAGATGAAAAATGTCTTTAAAAACTCCTTGACTTGATATCCTTGCAAAAGGCATGCAATTAGTCAGTTTTTAAGATGCAGTCTTGACAGGCATCAGCATCATAATGATGGGACTATTTAAGTGGAGGAAACAAAAGTGGGATGGCCTGCAGAAATCAGTGTTGCATATTAGGAAATTGTGGAAGTGACCCACTGCAGAAGAGACTCAGACTACCAAGATTCAAACTGACCGTGCAAGTTGGAACCAGAAGTAATGTAACTGGCTTGACTATCTGACTTCGTATCTTATTTCAGAGTACATCACTTTTCCACAAACCTTAAAAAGACAACAGATCTCTCCAGAGAGATCCTGAATTAATTACCTTGTTGGAATGGCATCATGTAAATTAGAGATACTCAGTTTTTAGCCCTGCAGTTCACATTCAGCCGCATTTCCAGCTATTAAATATGTATGGATTGATATCCTATATGCTCGGACTTACCTCCTGATTATTTTCTTTACACAAGAACATAAACCTACCATAACCGCATTTTTCACAGTGCTGATTCCCTTTTTTACTATTGCAAGAGCCTGTAGAGATATGAGGGACAGACTTCAGAAGTTAGGAATCACCAAATCTCTGCTTTTATCCCCATTTCTCAGCATTTTAGCTCTGGAGTTTACATAATGTACCATTACAGAATTTAATCTGTAGCTCCAAAGCTTCCTTTCTTCCTCTTTCCTAATAATCCTCTTATACAGATTAAAATTATTCTGTAGAAAGAATTCAGGAAACTGGAGGTTAACATAGCATCATTATGTCATTACTGATGAAAGCCCAGGACAAGCTCTCCTTGTCATCATAACCTACTGACACTTCTTTTTCACCGAGATGGAAAAATCTTCCCCTTATCTCTTTGTCAGCTGGCACCGATATTCTTAGGCTAGCATGATCATGTAAGTGCTATATAGTTCCGCTGCATGCACAACCCTTCTCTATGTACTTCTGTACCTCCACAATAATTATTTGAAAGCTAAGTCAGTCAGTCACACGTCTCCATAAGTCAAACCGATTTTTTCCGAAAGTAAAAACTTAACCCCATTAGTCCTACTAATCACAATACAAAGTGAAGCAGTGAACACAATCAAAGATTAAGGAAAATAGTACAAATGCCTGCCACCTTTCACAATTAAAAGAGCTTATAGGTATAAGCGTTTTATATGACTGCCAGTCTACCAACTGATGCCCTGCTAAAAATGGATGATGCCTACTGAGGCGATCACAAAAGAGGGCAGAGCAAGAGCCACAGGTAAAGCCATCACTACTGCTTGCAGTAGTAACTGCACGGTAACACAGTACCTGAAGTAATAACAGATGACTGGAGCATAGTTTTGCCTTTTATCATGTCTCTATACATCTCATTGACTTTGTATGCTATTAAGGGTTGTACCTTTCTAAAGGTTCAACCACAGATTAAGACCAGCACAAAAAACTCTATCTCAATTAGTTATATCCAACAGTATTCCTGAGAGATGGTGTTTATTCCATTCCTTCAGTAAGATCAGAAGTCTCGAAATTCATAAGGATTCAGAAAAATCTGTCACTCATGCAACGCTGACCTAGAAAACTACTTGTCATATTCCCGATACGTAGAAAACAGGCAAAGTGCCGGTTAATAGAATCCTATGAGCCACTTCACTTCCCTAAAGGCAAGGAATTCTAGAGAGAGGGGAAAAGCTGGCATAGCCCAAGGTGTTGTATTGGAGACTCGATTAGAGACAACAGGATGAGAGTCAGAATCCACTGGCATCTAGGAATTCTGGACAAGATAAGAACAGCCTGAAGACTGGACTTCATACACTGAGCCAAAATTAACACTGGGGTTAGTAGGGTGAACGGTCATGAGTTCCAAATTATGCATGCAGCTGTCACATGAATGGGTCAGGAGCTGCTGATACTGCTCTGGTTTTGCATACATTGTTGAGCCCCTAAACAGAATAAGAATAAAATAAATAAAAACCTGCAAATAATCTTAGTGTTTATAACACATGCTTACCATAAGCTAATATTTTAATGGGATTTTATACTGTAAAACATTATTTACTGTGAGCAGATTTACAAACAATCGCTGTGGAATTGGACAGACTGTTTATTAATGACTATGATCTCAATTTACTTCTTTTATTTGCATTTTCTATTAAATATTTGTAGATTTTTCTAAAATGGAATCAAACAACTAAATTAAATTTTGGAAGGTTATATTAAAGAAGTCTCTTTAGAAATAAGGTCTGTGAAACTGCAGTTGGTTTTAAACTCGTATTAGTGTAATATTATGCCACTGCATCACATGAATCAAAAAAATAATTGGATTTCCTCTGCCAAAATACCCTGAGAGGAAATACCTTTATCACTGAAGTTACAGATAAGCCATTAATATTGAATTAGTTTTTAGAGAAATTGCTCTATTTGACAGAACACTTTTCTCTGGAGAAAATGTGGAAAAACTGTGACAAGTAAGTAAATATATTTGAATGATAGATCCATCAAGAAAACCAGAAAAGCAATAACAATGCCTGCAGGAAGAGAGAATTATCTTTACTGTGAGAAAAATATAGTACAATACTCTATCAGGTACTTAGACCTACAGTTGTTTCACACACAGTATTCCAAAATGATCAGATCCACACCATCATCTTCCAGTACTTATAACATTGAATTTAACCAGATTAAATCCTGAAGAGTAAGAAGCTAACCAAGTTACAGGCACAGCTGATTTTGTTTCAATCAAATTCCCTTCTCTTAATAAATTTAATTTTATTACTCATCTGTTTCATGTTCATGAACTTCATCTTAATTTTTCAGTAGATGAAAATCTTTAACCTCAAAAGGTACTACTAGAGATATTTACATTATTCAAGATTTTCCATTCAAAGGGAAACAAGACTTAGAAGTACAGTAAAAGAGATACATACCCATCTTACATGAGAACAAAACTGTATTAGTATAACACTGACTTATGCACATACTATCGTATTTCGGTGTAAATACTACTGCTACCAGAAAGTCAGAAAAAAACCAAAACCAAATCCAAACCTCAGACTCTTTCTCCTGTTAATAATAGTTCAAGAGCAGTTCCCCTTACAGCTACAATGTGTTAAAGAGCATTTCATAACACTTTGCAAATATATTGGAGAAGTGATGATTTTTACTACCATTTATGGCAAAATATAACACATGACATTTGGGAATATAGACCAGAACAAATTTATATTAGATTTTAAAAAGATGATTTTTATTAAGCACAAACAGCTTTTAATACATTATCAATACAAATAGGAAAACATCTGTTTAATGGATTTAATATATCAAAGATTTGATGGGCAGGTTGCATACTGGCACAATAAAAATGATATTTAAAAAAAAAAAAAAGTATTTCAAATTAAAATTATAGGGTCACCACCGTCTACACTGCAGGAGCTTACCTACAGTCTAAAATTACTACATCACCTGGGCATAGAGGGAAGCAAATAAGTACAGTTTCATAATACGGAACTTCTAACACTTTCATTAGCACCATTCAAAGCTTGCATCAGCTGTTTAACTGAGAAGCAGCTGACAGGTCAGGTAAAGCTTAACAGCAAATTTCAGTGCAAAGTTTACAGTTCCTTTTCATAAGATACTTGGAATCTATGGTTTCATAGCATGTTAAATCATTATGGCTTGATAGATGTACAGTGTTAAGATGCTGAGAACATTTACTTTGAAAAATAGATGAGACTTATAACAGCTGTGAAATGCATTTTAATATATTATGCCGAATTCTGTAATATGCAAACAACATGCTGGATTACAAACTGAAGTCCTATTATGAATTTATAGACAAGGGTCAGTATTAGCTCTCCAGGGTAGTGGCTTCTGGTTGTCTCAGCTGCTGCTTTTTCAGGCTAACTAGCTTCATCTTCTCTCTAATGTGTTCTGCTGCAGAAGCCATATCACTTGGGCTCCCAAAGTACTGTTCAGACCTGGGGAAAAAAAGCCAACAAACAAAACCAAACAACCCCAAACCCAAAAGTTATTGGTGAGAAGCACAACAGTACATGAATATATGCATTAATAGCACTAGAAAACACAAAGCAGATAAAGAAAACAGGCACTTTTTCATCTTGAAATTTAAAAGCCACCTTTAAAAGGCTTTGGATGACTCAGTGACGATACTCAACAGCAGATCTTGATGAAATTATTACAAATGCTAAATGACCTTTTTAAACCCAAAAGATTCTCTCAACAGAAGTTTGTGAGCAGTGAGGCACTGAAACAGGTTGCCCAGAGAAGTTGTGGATGCCCCATCCCTGGAAGTGTTCAAGGCCAGGCTGGATGGGGCTTTAAGCAACCTGACGTAGTGGAAGGTGTCCCTGAAAGTGGCAGAGAGGTTGGAACCAGATGATCTTTAAGGTCCTTTCCAACCCAAACCACTCTATGATTCTAACAGAAGGGTGCTGTTCTGTAGGTGAAACTATTTTTTTACCTCCCTGCTCTGGCTACCCCCCACGTCAGTCTGTCAGTTTTAAGTACTATGACAATCAAGGAAATCTCTTTATACATGTATTCTGAGGCTATACAATTGCTGCACTATTGAAGGACTCTGTGTGTGAAGACAGCCACATGCCATGAAGTTACATTACCTGTTTCTCAAACTGAAAAGAACACATGGCTGTGTAAGTTGATTTCTCCCATTCAAATACAACAAAAGAACAGCTGAAATGTTAGGGAAACTACTAATTAAGCTGTCAGCAAAATGAGGATTTGAACAGAATACATGTTTCAGAAGAACAGGAAACGGAGGTAGGACAAATGACTTCTGACTGGAGGGAGGGGGGACAGGCCTTAGCAGACAGAAAAGTTATTTCATACAGGAGTAGACTCGTTTGACTAGAGAGCTCCAAAGACAACAGATTGCACAACTGCACATGGGATCACAGTATGGGTAGGTATTTTTCCTGATGCAGAGCAGAAGCCATGAGCAGGACAGGGAACAGTGACCTGGTCTTCCAAGAAGATCCTGACAAAAGTCCAAAGTGGTAAAGAGGCTGATGAAGACACCTCCAAGCATTTTGTGACATTTTGTGTGTTTCTACATTTCTTAAACTATTTCTACTAATGAGTGAACCCTTTGTAAATTGTTTGTTTAATGCTTCAAAAATAGAGTGCCAAGGCATGATGAGCAGGGGATCCTGTGACTTACGACAGCTAACACCCATCTTTAGAGAAGCGGGACATGCAGAACTCTGCTGATATGCCAGAGGGGTCAGAAATAATGTTCAGGATTCAGTCAGCCTAAAATACAGGTGTAGATATATCTATAGCTATATGAGCATTCTGTTAGGACAATGCTCATATTAGGAACTTCAAAGGGTGGCAAATGTTTTACAGGGGCCTTCCCAGGTTTTAATGTTTGTTTTTACCTTAATAGTCTACCTGCAAATTACATCTCTTTTCAAATAACAGCTGCTAGTTTTACCAGGTCACTAGAATCTGCTATGCAAAAATTAAACTAAAATACTTCAAAAACCATGAGACTTCTTGACCAGTTTTTTTGTTTGTTTGGGAGTTTTGTTTGTTTTTACTTTTCTGTGGGTTGGTTTGTTTGGGTTTTTTTTTCCTCACAGCTATAAAACCCTCACTACTTGTTCAGGCCTGTGTCCATCTCTCATGGGTAGCACTCCTTAGTGAAGGAAACTATACTGCATAGGGAGCATGAGACTTTGGAAATAAGATGACAGAAAATTGATTTTCATGACCTGCTTCCTGTAACTGTATTTTTCTGATTGACTTCAGATAATCAATAAATGCAGTTGCCTGATACCTTCTCGTAATGTTTCAGCCTCTTATTCAAATTATTGATTTCAAATCTCATTCATTAAGGTGCAGGCTCCTACACACCTGGAGCCTAGTTCCAAGGCCTGGCTATACTGAGATAGAAGAAATTAACTGTAAGCTCAGCATCACAATGGACAAGTGTATTTTACTGAACATAGAAAACTGAGCTTTATTACACTGAGATTCCAAATTCAATTTGCTTTTTTAACTTAAGACAGCCACCAATTTTAAATTAGTATCAATAGTTCACAAGGGAAGTACTGTTTCATTTGCTGAATGAATCAAATGTAAACTTATTTTCAATGTATTGGCTTAAAATTTCAGATGGATAGAATTGCAAATAAATTAGTCAAAATACCATGACTCTAAACTGATCTTTTTTCAGGGAGAAAACGACTGTGACCGGTCATTCTTTTGTTGCTTTCACATACTTTGTTGGTGTAAAGACTCCATAAATCTAATAATTATTGAACGTGAAAAAGTCACTACTTTGAAACCGTGGGCATGTGGCCTTTGGAAAATTTGGAATTGGACCTGCCTGCTTTCTGTGAAAAGGGAGGAAAGAATTTTTACAAAAGTGTATTTAAAAGGCGTTAGAAAAAAAAACATTCTGCATACCCATCAGGATAAACTACAGGCACTGTTAGTCTGTCCAATAGCGATTTCCCAACTGCTTCAATTTCATCAAATTGCTCCATGTCATTAAAAGCTTCAGCCTGCTCTGGACATTCTTGCAAAATCTAGTAAAAGGAAATACAGAGTAGAATAAACAAGGGATAGCATGTAGGGTTGTTTTTTTTTCAGTGCCATTAACTGGCAGTGCAAATGCTCTTTCAGCATCTACACTGCCACATTTATATGAGGTCAACTGAAATATTCATACAATTCAAGAAAGGAAAATATTGATTAAGCTATATTGAGTAAATAGTTCAGGGTTACCATTGTTTTGCACTAGAACGTTTTACATTACTCCTAACAGGGAGCAAAAATGAAAAAACAGTCTTGCTAGGCAATATTCCAGCAACAAATATAAAATGTATAAAAATAGTAAACTGCATCATGAAACATACAACACAGTCATATAAAATGGAAGAAACATTGATAACAAGGGTCTCTTACAAGCCACTTCAAAACTAAAATCCACATTTGGCACAGAACAGGTAGGATTTCTTCCACTTCTCCGTCTGACATGTCTTTTTTCCAAAGCAGCATTGGTACCAAGAACATATTTTCCTCACAGACTTATAAATATGACACAATAGTGCTAGGAGAATGATGTTTTTGAGTAAAAGCATCACTATTTCAGCCATCCATTTCCTTGTTTTAGACTTATGATTGCCTAAAACCACAGCAATTAACTACTGCAATAACGAACGAATGCTCACAATATGGACTGAGATAATCAACTCTTTCAGGAGTTTATGAACCACTGAATTCTAATTTGGTACCAAGTAAAAACTTTTTCAGCCACCTCTGGCAGCGTGGATGATCTATTTCTACTTTTGTGAACCTCCATCAACTCCCAATGCCTACAAACGCAAAGCATCTTCCAGTAATAAAGCAAGAAACACTAAAAGCAAGGAGCATACGAATCAGCTCTGTATCCATGCTCTCCTTCAATGACAGAATTAATTTATTTTCTTTTAAATGTGCAAGATCAGCACTTTTTTGCAGTTATATGAAATTTTACTGTCAGTATTAGAGATACATACACTAAATTGCTTTTCTAAAATATACCACTTCACAAAAAGAATGGTTCCTGGATGAAAAGGCCCTACTCTCATGATCTGCATTAATGGATATTGTCCTGAATTCATGCATTTGAAAACTATCAACACGTTCCCCCTTCAGCAAGCTGCTACTGAACAGCAACTATTTCTCAGAACTGTTGTTGAATATTCATCCTCCTCTGTGGCTTCTAGCATCATCCAAATGGGCACAGGGGGGAGATACTTGATTACAGGAGTTTGAAAAGCATACCAAGGTAGAGGTGTGTTTTGAAGAAAGAACGCTAAAACCCCTTCAAGTGCAAAATAGCAGATGCAGCAACACAGCATGCATGGAAACTAAACTGATTGCATTCATTTACACATATTCTAAATGCAGAAATCTGAAAAGGCAATACTCCTTTTAACTCTCCAAAACATCTTAAGTGACCCCATAGTTTTATATTATACCTTGCACAAAAATACAAATCATAAAGTGCTCCCTGCCTTTAAGAATTAGTCTAACACACACAAATAAATGCTTATACCAATGTAGGTATGCAAGCAATAAGTAATGAAATTAAGATTTATAAAAATATGCTTAAATTCTTCCTTCTGCATTTTTTTAATATATAGAAAAGGGTAAACACATGCACTGACAACTTCGTATTTGTTACCTTCTGTTTGCTTACATTCTGATAAGAAAGTTTTCTTCTTAAAAACGTGACACTCACCTTTTCAGCACTTGAATGAAATGCAACAGCTGTTTCCAGCCGGTGTACTCTTTCCTCAGAAGTTACTGTAAACTGTTTCCACACTCTGTTTAGTCTTGGAAGTGTGTCCCCCGAGGACCTTGAAGTGCATCGCAGGGACTGGCACAGGACAACAGTTGCCTGTAGTAACTGTCTCCCATAATCATAAGTACTCTACAAGTTGGAGGGGATGGGAAAGAAAGTACATATAAAACCTCTGCATTTAACTTAGGAGCTAATTAACATCTTAAGCCAACAGGAGACAAGTTTATGAAAGCTCCACAATATAGGTCCACAAAGTATATTGAACTAATCTGGTCTGCTAGAAAACATGGCTGAAGCATGAATAAAATTGTAATGACCATGCAGTGCATTTGCTCTCAGAGGGCAGGGAAAACTCTCTCCCCACCAGGAAAAAAAAAAAAAAAAAAAAAAAATCCTCTGTTGTCTAGCATTCACAATGGGAAAAAAACAGCATCCTGAAAATTATGAATAGTTGCTTGTACCTACATGGGATACTTGACATCTGCTGCCATTAGACTCTCCTAAATGGAGTATACATCTGCAAAAGCACCTGAAAAAGGCCCAGCTTGTACACTCTCTATTCTTAGGTGACATTCTTTCAAAGGTATCTGGCATCTGCTTGCATATTCAAGATTTTCAAACAGGCGTGTAAGCATGTCCTATGCCTTCAGTGAATGTTAGTAGACTCTTGTACAGCAGGATTCATTAGCTGCCTGCTAATCAAGAATTAAACCTGTCAGTTCTGTTCACCCACTAACTGCTAGTGCCAAAACTCCTTGTAAGAGCAGGACCATCATACACCAACACTCAAACATCTGGAAAACCAATATAAATACAAGCTCTGTTTCATGAAGTACAGCACAAAAGACTGGAACTAAGTGGCTTATCCATATTTCAGTATTTTATGGCAGTCCTTCGAAAGTCATTACAAAGACTATTTGAAATATATGCCTTTTAAGAAAATCAGTGTGAACTTTATGTTTTGTGGTTTGCATTGAGAACTAAGGTAGTAAACTGCAGCATTGCTATAGCTGGTGGAACTTCAAAATCTCACTAGGCTCATCACCAGTTCCAGCAATCACAATCACTTCATTCAAGCACTGAGGGAAACCATTAAGACTAGTAACAGCTGTTCCATGATTGTCCATACAAGTACCAATTCTATTTAGGAGTCTTCTGAAACTGTACAAAACCCATAATACATTTCACCTGTGCAACATCAACAAATTTTCGATGTTTCTCCAGTAAAACTTTTGTTTCTTGAGCATCATCTCCCAATCTGATATGTGTCTTCAGCAGAGCATCCAACAGTTCACTTAACCATTCTACTGCCTTAAAAAGAGAAGTTAGAATAGTAAAAATCAGAAAAAAATCCAGAAGTAACTTCAGTACTAGCATATACTTTTGATACAGAAAAAACTTAAGAGATCTCAGACTGGTAGTTCACACATGCAAATCACCAAAGTACTCTTTCAGTCATAGCTACATCGTTTATTTTCACTGTACATATTCACTAAACAAGACTATATTTGAAGTGACAAAAATAACACTGTACAACTACCAACCCCCATGAATTTAACCAGTGAAAGACCAGCAAGATGAAATTGTGTACACATTTCCATACCTGAGCAGCATCCTCTTCACATTTAAATAACTGTACCATCTGAAGCATCTTTAGTCGCCGCACATCCACCATATCTTCACACCTTAAACAGTAGCACAAAATGACTCACCAACACATATACAGCAGACACAATACTCTAACTTTGACAATGTTTTCAGTGAGCAACATGAAAGTATTCATGAAAAGGTGATTAAAGCATTTTGTACTGCTTATCTTGGCTGAAATCTATAATACCTCACGTAACAGGAACATGCAATAAATAGATCTGATCACTACAACCCACAGAAACCATGACCCTCAAGACTCCTGGAAAAGGCTAAGCTATAGATAGCAATATCAACAGTAGCTACAAGGCTTTCCAGCAACATTTCGGATTCCTTACCTTGTTGCACTTGTACGATTTGCCACACAGATGTTTATGTGGCTAAGACAGACTTTACCCTGCTAAAGCCTAGGTGAAAGCTGGCTTAAACTTGGTATGATTCTGAATTGTACTGTGATCTATCAGCAAAGTTTCCTGGTGAATAAAATGAGGACCTTTTAAATTATGTTAATACATCTTTCCGTTTTTCTTTTTATCTAACTTAAGATTGCAGCCTTTTGCAATCTTAATTAAATTAACCTTTAATTTAATTAACCTTTAATTGAAATTGAACCTTTGTATGATGATGCCCTTCGCTATAACATGTCAGGAAGCATTTCAAAATCCAAATCCTGTAAAATCTAGTTCTACTTCTCTTGTTCTAAATTAAGCACATTTTCCAGATCTTTTTCTACTTAGAATTTGGGGGGGGGGGAAGTGTCACAAAAATTACTATTAAATGCTACCACGAAACAGCAATCCTTATTGTACCTATTCACCTCTTGTCCAACCTAAAGAACCTTGTTTAATCATTCATCATCTGGAAGCTACTTCATACCTTTGCTGAACATTTTATTGACTTTTTGATCCTCTAACTGACTTCTCACAATTCTATATCCCTTCTGAGAATAGGGACCAGAATTGTGTTAACGCTTAAAACAGACCACAAATCTATACAGGGACAATGACATTTTCCTTTTCGTTTTCTATTAATCCTTAGCTTTGTACTGGCTTCTTATATTATGATTGAGCATTAAAGCAATTTTTGCAGAAATTTTCCAATGTTTATCTTTGAGTTAACAGCTGGTTCAGAGTACATTACTATGTATATAAAGTTTTCCATTCTCCCATGCACGTTGATTTTCTCAGCACTGAATTCCAACTGCTCTTTCATTGCACAGTGACACATGGTCCTCTATAGCTCTTCACAGCTGGCACTCTAAACACAAGTGCTGCTCAAGTAAATAGGATTCAGAGGACATACTTAAACCAACACCTTCTTTAAGCATTATCAAAACACATAGTTTCTTATAGAACTAATCCCAAAACGAACAACCTGATGCTCATTAGACCCTGTGTTCTCTTGAGGTACCTTTTTGTTTAGGCATTGCCCTCAAAGTTCATGCACTTGCTGTGAAGAGTACTTTATTGTCTTTTAGGGGTTCCAGCAGTAATAATAAGCAACATCGTCTGACTTTCCCACACTACTGAGTGGGAAAAAAGGTAGTACTATAGCTAATCCAGTACTACAGCTAATCCAGTACTACTACACCTTTAAGAAGGAAAAATATATATACAGTATGTGACCTATCAGCACACAAAAAAAATTAATTACCAGAACTGTTATTACCTTTGTTTTCTAAGCTGCATATCTTCCATCACTCCCTGGATATGGTCCACATTTTCTTTGTTTTCAATGGTCACATCTTTTCCATAGGCCCAGGATGCCTGATTAGATATCTGATCAAGAAGACTTTGACCTTTCTCACGCAAGCCTTGCAAGCCTAAGTCTAAAGAAAAATGTAGAAAAAAAAGAACAGAAGTCAATGGTCACTTTTATAAATTTGGAGGGTTTTTTCCCCCCAGAGAGATGAAATCAACAGAATCTGAGATGCAAGACTGGAAACTGAAAAGGACACTACTACCTGTCTTTCAGCACCCTTTCCAACGTTTACATTTGGGTGCACATTTGTCTATATTGACAAAGAGCAAAGGCTTTACTATTTTATGACCTAGAAGATAATAAGGAATAAAAGCTGACAGTACTTTCAGCAAATTAATGTCTTTCATCCACACAGTTGCACAATACCCAAAATACTTATCACTGCTAAGCAGCTGTAGCCTAAATGTTCATCCATGGCTGGCAGAAGTTACTACTTTATAATACATCCGATATGGCTGACACATTTTTCTATACTGAAATTCACCGAACCTTAGAATCTGCTGTTACATCTATTATTTGGCAGCTCTACCATCTCTTTTCCTAGAGGAATATCTAGTTTATGCATCAAACTGTTATACTGCAATAATAACTACTTTTACCATATATCAGTTATTTTCCTTCAAAGCTCTTTCTCCTACAACATGTTGGACTAGATGATTATTGTAGGTCCCTTCCAACAGAAATACTCTTTATTTAAAATGCTTGACAGTGTAACCACCTTAAATGTGCTATTCATTAACATATACATTCAAAGCTACTGCAAAACACTCAGTACAAGCATTCTAAACCTGAGTGAATAACAATCTTAATCATCAAAGGGTCAATTGTGGAGACAAAAAGACCACCTAAGCACTATATTCCCAAAATACTAAGAATGACTAGTGGGGGGAAAAAAGTTTGTTTGCAGATGAAATGCATGATAATGGTATATAACAAACATATATTACATATACAAATTTTAAAAAGAAAACATTTCCAGATAATTTTCCCAGATAGAATTTCTATACAGTAGATCGCATAAGTAAGCTAAGCAAGATAAAGGTAGCTAGGTGGAGCATTACTTAGCTAGAAAGTGGAACAGCGAGGTATTTTTATTGCTGTCCCCCCCTTTTTTTTTTTTAAGGTGGTAGTGAGATTACTGTTGTTTTTTCCTGCAATGTGTTCATTAGAATGTGTGTATCTGAAATGCAGAAATATTTTGCTTACCAACACTTTTCAATTTCTCTTCCAATAGTTTTAAAGTTTGTTGAATTGATGCTCCATCTGCTGGTGCTACATCTACACACAACATTCCTAGTAAGCCATCCAATTGCTGAGACAACTAAAATGAAAAACAATGGTAAGTGTGGGTACTTAAAAAGAAATTTGAGCTTCAGATGATTTGGTCTACAATCTTCTAAATATTTGGAAGTGTGTCATTTTAGAAGTTTCTCTTTGCATCTATAGGAAATGAAAGTCAAGATGGAAGATAAACAACCCATCTGCCTATAAAATTCCAAAAGCATACATACTTAGATGAGGGGGAGAGGGAAAGCCTAGATTTTATTTTTTTTTATAAAAGTATAGGAAAGGAATAAATGCCATTTTAAAAAGAAACTATAAAAAGTATACTGAATTGTGGTATACTCTATTTAAAAAAAAAAAAAAGAAAAAAGAGGTGGAAAAAGCAACTTTTAAACTAGTAACCATTTTATTTCAAACATTGTTGAAATGTAAGGCTTACTACAAAGCAATTCCCTCCTAAACAAAAGGGAAGTACATCTTCTCAGAGTTTCAATTAGAGTAAATTACTTACAGCATTTTTCAAGTGACATTATGTTTCTTCCCACTCCCCTGAATTTTTTCCTATGTATTCAGTATTTATAATACTAAGGCTAGAATATACTGACAGGTGAGCCTCAGAAAAGTTAAAAATTAAAACTTACATCCTGGGCAACACTGTGGAATTCAAGTGCTGCTTGTAATAGATTCTGCCTGAATTCCAGCTGACTGGCCTGCCGGTAACACACATCACTCAGCTGTTGCTGCAATGCCTTCAATTCCACAAGGTCCTCCTCATCTCCTGCATTTAGAAGAGCTGCTATCTGCTGATTAAGCTCAACATAAACAGCAAACCACTCCTACAAACACAAAAAAAATTAAGCATTAAAATAATACAAAACATAGTTCTATTTCTCTTACAATGGCATACATCCAACTGCAGACTAACAAATAAACAGACTAAAAAAGAAACTTATTACAGCTTATGCTATAATTATGAATTCCCACACAGAAGAAAAAAAAAAAAAAAAACATTTCCTGATTTTGAGTCAACTCAAAAAGATCTTAGAACATTTTAATACATGCACTGCAGTATTAAGAAAATGGTGCAGAAAAATGGGAAGATTACAAGGCACGGCTCCCAGCACTAACCTCCGACAAAGGAATTCCACCATTTTAAAATAAATTTTTAATGCTTACATTTCTATAGTGCTTTACTGAAACAAGAGACCTTTTGCCAAGTTGCAAGCTATTACAGAAAGCTGTTCATAAGACATTCTAGGTGTTACTTTCACTGACATGACTGAAAACAGCAATAATTTTTTAAAACATTTCAAAAAAACCCACTACTGCTGACAAAGTGGAAGCAATCGCTATCTTCTGAATATAACAGAGTATCCATGCACAGAAACTTCAAAATAATTCTTGCTTCTTATTTAAGGAAAGCTTTATACTACTCAATTCCAAATGCGTAGCTTTGTTTTTCAAATACTTTGATTACTGAGTAGATTCATAGGAGCTCGCTATGTTGTCATGGTGGTGTATTTGTAAAAGAAAATAGTTTAAATATTTAACAATTCTGGGAGACTTAAAAATGACTTGATATATCAAGATCACATTCACATCTTGCATGACTGAGATGCCTGTAAAGCAAAACATGTTTGCTCAACAGCTTTTATTTTGGCCTACAGTGAAATGACCTTCAAACGCCCTATGTATTTCTAGTGCTATGGAACAGCACCATCTATTGGCCTAAAATATCTGATTTAATTAGTACTCTTGTCATGCTCCTACTGGGATACTTGCCTACTTGGCTTTTCTTTTTTTTTTTTTTAAATTATGCCTTCAGCTTTTGCATCATTTATTTACAAAGCATGGAGTATAAATATCCATATTCTGAAATTTTTTTTCTTTTTACCCAAAGTCACCTCTACCATCTGCTCACAGGAAAAAAACAAGAGTATGAAAAGAAGTGGGGGAGGAAGTAATGAAGAAGTTAAATTTCCAATCAGCTAAAAATTTAAGACCTGAATCAATCTCTCATCTACTCCAAAAGGGTCAACTAAGCTGACATAATATGGAAACATCTTCCACTGTCACACATGTACTAGATATATAGTTTCTATAAACTCAGTTTATACAATATAACTCTCATTATTTCCTTCAGACACTGAACATACAAATCTAGCTTACCGAGCGTGACAAGTGAGTAGTCAAACAAAAAAAAATTAGATTAATAATTTTTAGTTTTTATTTTTATCTTTAAACAGTTGCAGTAATTGATTTTGGTCAAGTTATCAGTGAAATTAAGAGACTGGCAAACCAGAGATAAAAAGTTTATCCTTTCCATAGGAGAAAGTTAGGAACAGCTTACGTGACAGCTCAAAACCATAGAGAAAAGGCCAAACATTTATTCAAAAATAACATATTGCTCATAAATAAAACAGAAAACAAAAGCCCCCCAAAAAACCCACACAAACACAACCTGCCCTCAAAACAAGCAAAACCAAAAACACTGTAAGAAAATAATTTGAGTTCAGAGTAAATTGAGGTAGAAAGCTTATCTTTAAAACAAATTGCACATTTCTGCAAGCATCTTCCACATAGAAATAGTATAACAATAAATAGATCATGAAAGAAAGCAAGCATACAAGCCATCAATTCAATTATGAGGAGAGAAAAAATAGGAAAATAATGAAAGAAGAGTACACTCAGCTATTAGGAAATGTTTAAAAATCAAAAGACAAAGTACATCTTTCTAGTGCTGTGGTCAAAACCAGTTTTAATTTATAAACAGGCATCCAAATTTAAGATAGGCCAGTGGTCTACCAACTATTTCTTTTGGTATAAAATTCAAAATAATTTTTTTCTAACCGTTGTTTCTACAAATTTCTACCAGCACCTGAGAACCAAGCAGCATTCTATCTCATCAGTGCTTTAGAGATGAGCAAACTATAGGCCAGCCTGCAAACTTCAGTGGAATTTCAATGATTTTAAGGACTGCATTTAGCCTCAGCTAAATCACAATTCTGCATTACAGATATCCGAGCGAGAAAGTATATTCAATCTTGTTTTCTCTTTTCAGTTTGAAATGCTAATAATATGACTGAAAGACATTAATTATTTTTGTCAATGAAGTAAAGAGGGAATTTTTTTCTTTTCCCCCAAGTAGGATTTTAACTGTTATGATGTTTTACACTTGAGAAGGTACTGGTTTCAGAGCAGAACATTGCTTGAAGAGCTTCAAGTAATAAGAAGACAAACGAAATAGGAATCACTTGATCTACAACACATATTTCTGCATCTGATCAAGGAAACTATATCCATTAGAGATGTAGTCAACAGAACCAGTGTTGTCTAAGTAAGGCACAGTGTTTCTCAGACTTAAGGTTTGGGTTGGGCTCTTTTTTCTAAAGTGCATCAGAAAAATTACAAACCAGTGACTAGGAAAAGTGGACAGAATTGTCAATGTCTACATCCAGGAAAGCCAGAAAAGAGGAAAAGCACTGTGGAGCAACACTGCCTTTGGAGTACTTAGCATTCATATCATGATTATAGTTAAAAATCTGATGTATTTTTCCATCAATATTCTATTAGAAACTTAGGAATTCTTCAAAGTTAGAAGCAAGGGCACCAAGTCAGCACAGTTAAACAATCTCTTCAAGATTTCATTGTGAACAGAAATTGTATCTTAAGTCCTGAATAATGAAAGTGTTAAAACCAGTTTCAGCTCCTGGTAAACGTAGTTTAATAAAGACAAAAATATTAACTTATTCACCTGAGAAGTACAGGACTTGTCAGCCATTTTGGCAGGGAAGAAGGAAATATACCCTCCTACTAAACATAAAAATTTAAGAACTACTCTAATGTAATATAAAGCCAAGAAAAATAATAAAAATTAGTATTTTTCTATACCAGAAAACAAAATAACAGTACATGTAATAGCCATATTAAGTTCTTAAACTTTCCTCTGAAACTCATAAAATCATGCACTATTCAAATTTCCTAGATATTCATAATCAAAATATATTGTTCATAACTGCATGTACTTAGAATTATTTTGCTACTTGAAAAGGGTATGGAAAATCTCACACTGTGCTGACTCTCAATCTCTTCATGTTTCTGTTGCAAAGCTTGTGAAGCTCTAATTGAATCACCTATTCCCCACTGGGTTCGTAGTTGTTCTGATCCAGGTCCTTCAAGCCAGTTGACCACCTGCCAATGAAATGAAGATAACAAAAATAAAGTAGCAAATCAATGAAAACTGGTATAAGAATAATTCTGCAATATAAGCACAAGTATTCCAAAGTAAGCATATGTTTATAAAAAAAAAAAATTTTTTTTAGCATCTGTAGAAGTCTTGGTGAACCCATCCACATCTTCAAAAGCTTTAAGTGAACTACTTTTCATTAACCTTAGTCTATCAGCTCCATGAAAGCTGGTAGCAGCTAGCAAAAGATCTGTCACACATACTTGTCATTTCTTTTATCTATCAATAAAACAGCTTAAACTACAGTTTTCTTGATAATGGACCTCTCCTGCTCAAACAAGATTTTTCTGGTTTTTTTTTTTGCCTAAGTGAATTGCAGTGCACAGCTGTATTCAACCTGACAGCTGAGAGTTTTCCCCTTACTTTGTACTTAAGTACAGGATACGTACTTATTTCAAAACTAAGTTGACACAAGAACTTAGTATTTTATATATTTATGTCTTTCAACTCACTCTATTCAAATAACAAAAGCCTCTTACAAGGTCTTAATGGCCGTATCTCATGGGCTCTACTTTTGCAGAAAACTCATGGCAATACTATTTTGGACTACAGTATTAGATTTCTATTATTATTAAGCTATTTCATTTGACGTAAATATTTGTCATAGCAAAGCAGGGTATCTCAAATTTTTGTTTCCTTATATACATTTTAATTATCAGATTATACCCATGACAATATTTTTTATGGTAATTTTTAAATATCTAGAACCCAGTGCAAAAAAGTCATTTACTACTGTAGTCCTTAAGCAAGGAAATACAGGAATACCCCCACATTCTGAACCTTAATGAAAAAGCATAGGAAGCCAACTTCCTCTCTTTAATGTGACCTTTGTTAAACAACGATGACAAAACAGCTTCACACAGTTTTTCAGGAAATACAGTACAATACACAATGTAACACCATAACCATGAAGACAAATGAGAAGGGGACTAATTGGACCATTTTGCTAGTGCTGCTAGGCTACATTGCAACAGTAATCAAGAATGACCATCACTGTTACAGAAGGTTACACATCTTCTAGCTATCAAGTCTGTGTCTTCCCACCCTCCACCCCCCACCTCACCACGACCCAAAGCGCTGTTTCAGGGCGTATATTCTTTGCTCTAAAAGCATCCTCAGTCTTCCTTACTTTTATCACTTCTAGGGCAAATTAAGACTCTACGGTTCCAGGCTCTTTTTGTTTAAAGAGAAACTTCCTGTTGTGCTTAGCACTTCTGCACAGCTGTTGTCAGTTAAACATGGAATAGACCTAGAAGTGAAGGCACCCAGATGTCTCCCTCATAAGCTTAATGGCCTGGAAACTCACACATGGAAATAACAGTTCTCGTGCAAGTCTGAAACAGTGACCAAAGACCACCTTCCCATTAGAAGTTTCCAACAACTACTCTGCCTTGCCTCCAGGACTAGTTAGCTTAGCACATGGCCATTCTTGTGTAACACATACTTGAGAAAGAAGCAATGTTATTTTCGTAAAAATATATCCCTAAATGGTTAATGACTAGACTACTGCAAGGCCTGATGTTAATTTTTGTGAAGATTAGAAAAATATCAACACCTCTGCCTAAGGAGGCACAAAGCTAGAATTTATCATAATATACAGAGTTGTTCATTATCAGTCTGTTTAGTAGGACTGCTCATCAGATAATGCCTGGAAATCAGAGCCATCTTTGCCCTGCAGAATGAAAGATGAAAGAAAGGGAAACAAAACTATGGAATAGAAGTAAGAGGGGTAGTTTAAAAAAAGAGGGTATGATATTGAAGCCACAAGGGAAGAGAGTTGGTTATGGATAAGAGGGCTCTGCGACAGGAGTAAGAACTAAGCAGTTCACAGCAGAAGCCTCAAATGGTGAAAATTAAAGAGGAACACAAAAGCAAGCCAGGAGCAGTTAGCAATATAAGCAGCTATACAAAAAGTAGGAATATAATTTTAATGAAAGCTAACAGGAAATCACTGAATGTTATACTGCAACTTCTGTTTATTTTAGCAAAATAAATTCATGGCACTCAATCTATTTGTTTCTTCTAGTCCATCATTATCTTCTTAGTTTTCTCTGTTAACCTAATTTTCTCCCATAACCAAAAGGAAACTAAGTCAGCTTTCAATTTCTAGATATATTAAGTTTCCCCACACACTTGTATGGCACTTAGATATAAATGCACTTTATTAAGCTGATCAGTTGGGTATAACAGTGAAACATTTTTCCTGTGTACTGAGACTCAGTTCGCTTACTACACAGCATCCATTGCATAGACAGAGCAAAACAAGTAACTATTTCTTATACAAATACTGCAAAATGAGGCTAATATCCTAGTAAACAAGTCCATTTAAATGCATTAACAATGTCAATTTGCCAAATATAAATTTTGTTTCTGTTGGCATATCTTGTTCAACCATTGTAATACAGGGGAAAAGAAAAATCTCACCCAATTATACCAACAGCCTTGCTAACCTTCTATATAATACTATTTTCATATCTTACATATTTTTCTTATTTCCGGTTCAACATATCAGCATTTGCTTTTTTAATAATATTCTGACTTACTACATAAGTGAAAATTTTTAAATATTTAATTAATAGTCTAATAAAATTATTAGATTCAAAGTGAAAATTTCCTCAGTAGATTTATATTTTCACTGCAAGAAATAACAAGACTGATTAGTTTTTATCTCTGCCCACACCTGGAACACTGTGAAATACAAATACTTGATTTGTACTCCTCACACATTAGAAATGCCAATGTTGAAAGGTTAAAAGCAACATCCATTCCACTTTCTGCATATTCAAACCATACAGAAGCTTAAAAAACATAAATCTCATTCCAAGCAACAAACATGAGAAATAAATTAATTCCATTTCCTTGATTCTCTATTGAGACTGCTGAGAACATGCTGAAAATTATGATTATACACCTGTTTCCAAAGGACCAAACCAATTCATTATGACCTCTTAACACATGATTGATTAGGATGATTCGTATTCATTCTTGTCAGGGCATCCGTGAAATAGATAGTTTAATCACTTTAACCTAGTTAAAACACCAAGAATTAGACAAATAAAGGAATAAATAATGGCATATCTTCAGTAACTGGAACTTAAAAACAATATGGGCTGGGGAAGCTTGCCAACTCTTAAGCAACATTACAGTCAAAAATGTCTCATTTACTAATGTTCCCCTCTTTGCTGAGAAGTCAGGTATTTGTCTCTCAAACAACACAGCAGTACACTGACAAAGTATACAACAAAAGGACAACGTGAAGGTTCTTCAGCATAATGGCTGAATCACCTCCACATACAAGAACAGCCTTTGGAAAGTCTGTGGTAGCCACAATGTAAAGCATCAAGTAAAACTAGCACATTTCAGTCTGAGGGGTGAAAGGAAGCATGAAGCTCTCCTCTGAGAGCTTTAGTTTTGTAGGAAACGCAGTGTAGGACTTTACTCAAACCTCTGCCTCACAGTATGCAAGAACAACTCCAAGCTTACCTGCATTACCTTCTGCTGAATCTCCTCTAGTTGTGTACGCTTGCTACGTTGCCTGCAAACTTCCTGGTAGCGGGTATACTGCTCTCTGAGTGAATCTAGGAGCTTCATGACCTGTGGCTGAGCAAGTAGTTCATCATCCATTGGAGACCAGGATACCCCTCCATCTGAACCATTGAATCGACGCTGCTGTAACTCAGATAGTAACTCATGACCTTTAAGAATACATATAATGATGTGGTTAATTTAGATTTAAAAAAACAAGTGCAAAAGTTATTAGTAAGCATGGTGGCTTTTAGACCATCTAGTGGTACATTTTTGCAGCTAATGCACTTTCATGCATTGGGCACATTTAATGATACAACTTCATGCAGAGCATAGGCCAAACTTTGTCAGTCATTAAATATGGTAGAAATTATGTGGCATATTTTAGATATATAAAAGATACCATAACTAACACTTATATTGACATAGCATTGATTAATGTAAAGAAACAACTGCAAAACATAATCCTGAGTCTGAAACAACTGTATGCATTCTGGTTTACTTCAAAATACTGTGTAGCATCCAACATATTTGTCTCAATTCATATTCTTAGATTAAATGACCTAGAAGCACTAACAAACTGAGCATACAATATCTCTGTTACCTTTCAGGATTTTCATAGCGAGTACAAAACTCATAGAAAGTGTGCAGCTGAACACTAAGTATATTGATTAATATTTTTTTTCTTACTTTTCTTACATTTTTCTGTGTGCTCTTAACCACAGACTCTCTACAGCATAACAACTTTCATATATGCAAATATAGTATGTTTTGACTATTTAATCCTTTGTTTAAACTGTTTGAAGAATGTTATTGTTAAGATGTGGTGAAGTTTTCAGGATGTAGACACCATACTACCAGAAAACCCAGATCATCAGTTTGTTCCCCAAAAGCTCAATAAACAAGTTGGCAAATAAAACTCTGCTTGGCCACTAAAGAAATGGTGGTGTAAAAGTGAAAATCCATGTCATCAGTTCTGCATGTCTTAAACTGGTAACATGCCAGTTCACCAAAAGGAAAAAGTACCATTAGAATAGTATTTGTAATACACCTCAAGGAAGATGCAGAAATATAGACTCTAAATTCCACTGGCATTACCTAGACAATCAAAATGCCACAGGGCTTTGGAGATTGCAGCAAGCAACTTTAAATTACTCAGTATATATTATTGTGAAACGAATGTCTTAAAACTTCAAATACATTTTGCCATACTAGGGAAATAAATATCTTGGATTTAATCTTTTATTCTACTACACAGATAGGCACAGATAGCCGCAGAGCAAGCAGATTTAAAAGTTTTTACACGTCATGGTTCTACTGGGATAATTTTAAATTTTTATGGTATTGTTTCAGCAGTAAAGGATTAACATTTTCAAAGTAAAAACATTTTTTCAAACTGAATTCTTCTGAAATTCTAAGAACCATACTTTGTATGTAGATTTGGAGCTGGTGAAAACAACAATACTTGTAATTATGGAAAACAAGCCTTAAATAAAACCTCAGTCTATTCATATTTACCCCTAAGAGATAGGAAAGTTTAAGTGGGCAGAGTTTTCATTATGCGTAATTTTTTTTTATTCTCAGACTTTCAATATATTGAATCTAAAAAAAAAATCAGAGGTTGCCTCTTAGGAGCTCCTATGATTTAGTTAAAGTTATTAAATTTCATAGCTTAAAAAAAAAAAATCCTTATGCCATAATTAAGAAAACAGAGAATGCTGTTTGTTAAGAAAACAGAGAATGCAATGTTCTTGGGGGCCATCTGCTTACACAAAATTGATGTGTTGTTTTGACCAAAAATCTCACCATTAGAGGAGGATACACAGTTAGACTAAAATCTAGTGACAGTGTCTACAGACACTTCATATTTTAAAAACTTCAAAGAGCACAGCAAGGAACAACTGTTTCACCTTTTAACTCAAACAATATTATCCTACATATAAATAAACTAGTTTTACAGAGGGCATATAAAACTAGTAGTTTTCTGGAAAACGTTATCTGTGATCCACACATTGGTTTGTCGGAGGCTGTAAGATAAGGATTCTGAGCGCACAGACTCTGATCACCACCTTAACACTATGCATTACTTACTATTCTACAAAGGTGCAAACCTTTCAACAAATTTCTAGTCCAAATCAGTCTATTATACTTCACTGTAAGTAAGAAATTGAGCGTAAAAACCAACCCATTTCAGTCAAAGAACCACAAGATGTTTAATGCTGAAGGGGGAGTCTAAGTAGCAAAGCGTCAGAAGACTCTGTGCTTCACTTTCACAGATGGTCAGCTCAAAACTAGGCTTATGCATATTATCAGAACTGTGTCAGAAAATGCTATCTATATTGTAAGCATCTGGTGAGCACTGAGACCATTTTATAAGGCCAACATATTGACATCATCTAGAAACAAAGTATTCTCAAAAATAAACATGTTAATTATGGTAATACTGTAAAGATGTTATTAGCATTATTAAAAACTGTATTTAAAATACATTTGGAGTTCTTCCATTTATTTAACACTTTTTTTTAACCAAACAAAAGATGACATTAATTGATAAGCTTGTTACATTATGGTGATGGCTAAGATAATTATTATACCCTCTTTATTATGATGGCTAAGATAATTATTATACTGCTCAAAGCTTAAAAATAAATGTTACTTTAATGACCAACATTATCATTTTTCAACTTACTATACCTGTCTGCAATACCGTCTCAGGGTCAACTGATGGAAGGAAGTTCAAATCTATTGATCTTGGAAAAAAGGACCAAAAACTTTATTAATGATAATAAACATAATAAGGTAGCAAACATATTATTAATAATTTGCATTAGATTTTAGTAGCACTAAAAACTTTAACTAAGGCCAGAGCTACCTGTTATTGTTAAGAGATTGTATGTTTTCTCTCCTCACCCAGTAAAGCCCTCACTTTTCCAACTCCTATCAAAACAGAAGTACAGCTGCATGTAGTCAATAGCCAGTGAGCAGTCATTCATTTACACACACACATTGGTGAATTTTGTAGTCTACGTTACAAACTTTCAGAATTTCTTTACACATTTTAAAATATTTAAGGCATATCATATTTTTCATATTGTTTGAATTTCCAATGAAATTTTATAATCCAAAAGCATTGAATTCAAAAAACGAATCACACACCTCTCTCTTTCCTGTTGAGTTCCTTTATCACCTCCATTGTTAATTAGAGCAAGTTCATCCAGTAAGGATGTTGATTCTTTCGTAAACTTTTCAAATACCTAAATAAGAGTTGGGTTTTAATTTAAGAAATTAAAATTATATAAGTGGCAGTATTGAAGGCATCAGTGCAAATTTATCCACTAGTTCATCTTTACACAGTGTAATTATTTCCCAACATTCAGATGGTAGAGTAAAAAGAGTGGAAAAAGAAAAAGTAAGTTTTGTTCAAGGAACACTTAGAAGCACTAAGATTCCCTAAGGAGACAGTAAATGTTACACTGAATACAAAAAACATAGACTGAATTCTGAAATACTGAAAATTTTGAGACTTCTGCAAAACCTGTAAGTAAATCTTAAGAATAACATTAGAGAATCAAGGCACATTATGTAAGCATCTGACAGGTCACTTGAACAAATTAATCAACTTTGTGAAGAGTGCAGCTTTTAATCACTACTAATATAGGCTATGTTGTAATGAATAAGTAAGATGAAAGAAAGATGTATTATATAAAAAGAAATACCCTTATCAGTTTCTTTGAATATAGGGTCTTCTGATTTCAGATAACAGGGCTTGTATAGCCAGACAATGGGTACCCCTCAGATGATCCCTTTGTACCTGACTTCTGAGGGTTGATTTTTTGGGTTTGTTTTTTAACAGAACTGAGCATGACCAGATTCCCTAAATGACATGCACAGTAACTTTTGAGGTCTTTTTGGTGTTAAAAAGTGATTAATCAATAGCCTGCAGATCAACCTCTCTTAACCTATTTAGGACTACTTACGTTTCAGGGTAAACTAAAAAGGATCTGATGTGGACAGCTCTTAAAAGCCAATTCATAAGAAATATAAATTCAGTTGTTACAGAAGAAGAAAAACCCAGCAGAATTAAAATGTATTTAACAGTTGTAAACTGTATTTCAGCTAATACCTTAAACAACCTTTCTGCCCTCTTGTCTAGTTTCAGAATTCAGGAGTTGCAATGGGGGAGGTTCTTCATTAATTTGCAAAACAAATGAAAGAAGGCAAGAGAGGAAAAACAGAAGAAAGAAATTTTCAGCTGTAGTCTGAATCAAATATAAAGCTAAAGTCCCAGTGGAAGTACTATCCTTACAGATTTTATGAATGCAGGAATAAGTGAGCAGAAGCCGCATTTGGATATACCAGACAAAAAGGAAGGACAATGAGATACTAGATTTCCCTTCCCTCCCCTGTGTCCAGGTGCTCTTAGTTTCAGGCAGAGACAAAAAGCAAGCTGCCTTGCCCCAATCCATACACACATAAAGGCTGTGCAAAGACCATTGCAAAAAGCTGCACAGCAGATGATGCTCTCTCGGCCCTTGGGTCTGAACACACAATTTGCCGAGATTCAGCAAAAAAGAAACATGGTACACACAGCGTAAGCCCTCAAATTTCTTGAGAGGGAAGTATTGCTATGAAATTGGCTGCCAGGAATGTTTGAAGACTCTGGGTAGTTGTGTCTAGGACATACTGCGAAGTATTCCTAGTCCAGAGTCTCACCTGGAGATCTTAGATGGAGATACACATTTTAAGAAGAGATTGCATGGGAAAGGAACACACTGCTTCATTTAAAATTGCTTTGAAAATTAAAGTAACTGAAGAGTACCAATGAATAATAGATTTTACAACATTCTGGAGCGCTGTATGCACCACCAGTTGCTTAAACAATTTATTTCTTCTAATGATTTGCTCCTACACATTTACTGCATCTCTGTATCTACTGGGGAAACTATGCTGACAAAGGTTTTAGTGTATGACAGCTTTAAAACCTGGCTCTCAGTCCAAACAAACCAAGGTCTAAGAGGTAATCTAGGAAAATCTGAAGAGTTCCAGCTATTTCCTCCTTGGTTTGGATTTCTCCTATCAGCAGCCAAATAATTTCCCTTTGTACAGACTATACCATACACTCAGGCTCTTCTAGAGTGAGGGTCCACAAGACAGCTTCCTTAAGGAACTTTTTGGTTCAACAAACTGATTACATCATCAACCCTTGAGCAAATCTGGTGTTAGCTGTCATCATTCATGCATTATTCATGTATTTCAACTGCACTACTACACATAGAAACTTTCTACACGCTTAGTTCCTACACAAGAATTTCACGCTCAAGAACGAGATATTTAAAACCAACGAAAACTGAAAACCAACCAGCCTCTTATTCAACCAATCCATGTGATCATAGGTGAGAGATCCTCCAAAGTCTTCTGTTAGTTGGCATGGTTCTATGTACCGAGTCAGCTTGTTAGCAGATACTAAAATAACCTGTAAAAGAAATTTTAGGTACACTTGTAAATGCTACTATATTTTTCCCCTAAGCACCAGGAAAATTGCATTGAGTATGTCCAGAGGTACTGAGCAAATTCTACCATGATTCAGATACAAAGACCTTTTCTTTCTTTTCCTGGTAAATGTTTAAATGAAGTATGTCTGGTTGCAGTTAAAGCAGGCCCAAACCAGACAGGTAATTTTTTTTTATATATATGCAGTATATCTCTCATGCAAAAACCTGTAAGGGCATCATCTGCACTCCATAGGAAATATAAATGTTCACTGGATATTTGCTTTCTTGGTGGTAAATGATGCTTCTTGATAAGTCATTCACCACAATCTATTTTTAGTGAATACAGTAGCAGGATATCATACTGCAAAGCACTTAGAATTTTTATCACTCTTTTGCAACACTTGCAGTCCCAGAGGTAAGTTTTTGCCATAAAAGTTAAGTGCTTGCATTTATTGTGCAAATATGCACAGCAAGAGTTGGATCAATCATACTCTTTCTAGGAGAAGTCAAATTCAAATCTTAGTATGCTTAAAAGCCTGAGTCATGTGCCAAGGAGACAAATCCAGTTCATCAACTCCTCAGGATATGAAGGAAAACACAGATCCCACTGCTAGTCAGAAGACAAAATTCTTCCCTTCGTTTCTGCATTCTAGAGGCTCCTGGCTGAGCCTTATTCATAAAAATCTAAACCAAAAGTTGGCAGCACAGGTTGCTTTGATGCATGATATGCTAAACCTGGAGTAACTCCTATGGAAAAAAATAGAATTCTCTATGGAAGAAGACATGTTGGCAATATATAGTCAGAAAGGAGACAGGAAAAAAAATAAAAAAGGTAATTTTGGGAAGCCATCAGCTCATGCACATATTCTTACAGGCGACAAGAATATTTGGAAAGAGCCAAGTGGAAAAAGCCTTCTACTTCTATAGTCCAGCACTTTGTTCCTGCAGACACTGGAAGACAGAAAACCAATCCTAAACTTAGAGGTTTTCTCTTTACAATTACCTCAGAGGTTTTGTATTCTAATAGTTAAGGATAGTTCAGACTTGTATAGATCACTAAACCAATTTGATATAGTAAAACATTAACGAAAATACTATGTTTCTAAGACAGATTTTGAGCCAATCAAAAGCCATTCAAGTTAACAACCATTGGTCAGTTGCCTGCTCCATACTTGGAAATTTTTCAAATGGATACAGCCCTGAGTAACCTGGTCTAATCTCAAATGATCCTGCTCTGAGCAGGAAGTTGGACTAGAGACCTCTACTCTGAGAGATGATCCTGGTTTGACCAGGAAGTTGGACTAGAGAACTCCTGAGGTCCCTTCCAATTAGAATTGCTCTTTGATTTTTCAACTCTTACAACGCGAGAATCCAAAGTGGTTTGAACAGATGATCTAATATTTAGTGTACGGGAAATCTTCCAGCAACATTCAGCAAATACAGGCTACTCTCCTATATTCTATGTAGCTGCCATAAATGAAATTAGCTAGCAGTTCCTTCCAGCTTGAGCCGCAGAAAAACAAAGTCTTTGTTTCTTCCTTCTTTAGGCACACATTTATATTTTAGATCAGTTTTAAGTTCTCTTCTCATCTCTAGAAGTTCATAAAAAAGGAAAAAATTAATTTACTCAATCAGGACATTTCAGTATGGAAACTGAAGTAACTAGGGCAGTTGGTTCGCATCACTGAAATAATAGTTCTAAAAAATAACAAACAGCCTGAAGAAAAGGATAGACTGCATTGAGACCACTTATTTCTGATTTTTTTTTTTAACTGAGATCCTTCAGGAGGAATAGCAGGCAAGAGACGTGCTTTACAGATGTGCACCAGGGAAACATTTAAGGTTTTTTTCTCCTGTAAAGCAAAACCTGCCTGTATTAGATATATTGATGAAAAAAAAACAAACCACCCTAAAAGTGAGTGTCAAAGAACATACATTTGTTTTGCACCTTATTAGAAAAATTTTGAAAACTAAAACCCTTTCACCTCAAAAGTAAGTCTTGATGTAACTTAAGACATTGCTACAAACCCATTCATTCTCTAGGTTTCCTTTATTGTTTCTTTTTTTAAAAATAAAAATAAAAATAAAAAAAAAAAAAAGAAAAAGTTTTCTTTCTTAAACTCTTTATTGACTGTTCTTATTTCTCAGGAGTGAGACTACAGTTGTTTTTTCTAGAAACATGATTTTGATCCATGCGACAGTGCCACTAACACCTATCTTTCATAATAAGAGCTTTGAATACTGTTTGTAAAAGGCTGATCTACGTCATTTGCTGTTTTTTACAATTATTTTCATTGATCATCTGCAATGAAGAAGAAGATAAAGACCAGATGGGAATTCTGGTTATTCAATAGAACATGTGCCCCCAAAATGTTAAAACACATCCACCTGAACTTTCTTTCTTGAGGGAAGAAATTAAAAAGCTCTTCAATACAAATTTCAGAGTCAAAGCCAGGAGCTATTGGAAGACAGGATGGTGTAAAATTTAAGTAACAATGCAGTTTTTTAAGCGAGTTACATCAGAGCAGCCACATTCCTGAATTGAAAAAGGAGTAGTTATTTTCCAAAACACACATGTCCCTTGAGACAGAAAATTTAAAAAAGTGACATCTAAGCATATGATCTTCTGTGACAAGTAAGATGTCTGTATTAATCTTCATAGCTTAGCATCAATGAGTAATACATTCCAGCTCTATGATAAATTAAGAAGTTATCTAAAATTGAATGGTAATATTCTACATCTATTATCAGAGCAAAAACTTTATACTGGGAAATAGTTACAGAAGCACTGTAAGGGGACTAAATCCTATTTTTAATCTCTGGAGTAACAACATCCTAAAAATCAGATTTAAAAAAAAAAAAAAAAAAAATCAGATTTAGTGTCATCTCTTAGGAAAAAAAAAAATTACTAACTGGCATTTAGGCAACACTGTAAACCTAAAACTAGACTTAATTTCACAGAACCTAAAAAAGCCAATCCTGACAAAGTCATTTATGAAAATGGAGAAAATAATTCATTACAAACATACACCGATAATGCTTATAATTTGTTAGTCTGTTTTGGGGGATTTGTTTGCGGTATTTTGGTTTTGGTTTTTTGGTTTTTGTTGGGGTTTTGTTGTTGTTTTTTTTTTTGTTGTTGTTGGTTTGGTTTTTTTTTTTACACTTCAAGCAACCTAATATCCAACATATCCAACAACCAAAAAGTCAGACCAAGCTCCCAGTTCCCTGTAAAGAATTCTTATCAGGTATGCCCAACTTCTGAGAAGTTTATATGGGCTGAATGCACATTACCAACACATGTCACAGTTTCTCATTTGTCTTAAGTAACCCTCATGATCAGGTGGATACCAAGTGATGCTAGCATGAAATTAGATGCTTCTTTGGAAACAGAAAAAAATCTAAGAATAATAAATGCATATATTATACACAGTATCAGCTGTTTGACAGCTAAATGTTTAAGTTCTGTTCCAATTTGTTACACTGCAGTGCAACTGACTACAAATGTAGCTAAGATTATATTAAGGTATTTACTCAATACAAAAAGAATATCACTGCCTCGTTTACTCATTTTAATAAACTACAATAGAAATATTTAACACTTTTTTCATTTAACTACTGTAATGTAAGAAGCTGTCATTCCTAAACTTTTTTTTTCTTTTTAGGAACATTAATGAAGCATGCTAAAAGCTGGTGATACTTATCTGGTAATTTTGGACAATTTTAATTTAAACAGGCGTAAGTAGAAGTGGCTTTGTTCATTTCCGAAAAGTTCTGCCAAGGAACACTGGGAAGCCTAGACAGCTCTTCCCCTCTCACAGTCTGTTTGGTATGCATAAAATGTTGAATTTTGATAAAGTCCTTTGGGCTCAATATTAAAGCTGTTTTCTCAGTGGATTGATTCTTGATGATTTGTTATGCCAGCAGCTTACATATCCAAACAGCTTTGGAAAAATACAGGGAAAGCTTCAACGCACAAGGCAGAGATTTGCAAGAATAAGTTTGTACTTCAGCCCGTGCAAAAGTCCAAACCGAAGAATGCCTATATTCATTTTTCACACTACACTGAAGGCATCTGTTGCCAGAAAAACAGCAACTTTTTATTATTATGTTTGAATACTAGTTGTTTTCCAAAGCACAATCAGCATTTGGTTTTGGGGGTTTGGTTTGTTTGTTGGTTTTGGGGGTTTGGTTTGTTTGTTTTTGTGGTTGTTTTGGGGGGGGTTTGGGTTGGGTTTTTATTATTTGAAAGTTAGCTGTGCTTACTCTCCAGCAAACTCATCTGCTAGAAAACCTTAAATACAACCTGAACTATTTTCCTGGTGATTTTTCAAGAATAACTATAGCACTTTTAACAGACTAAACGTAGCTGCCCATATATGTGGTCTGACAGTGATTCATTGCCATGGAACTGTAAAGCAAAGATGTACTCTTCCCAAGGAGAATAATCCTACTGTTTGATGGTAAATTTTATTTCAATCCATTTTTGAAATGCTTGTTTGATTAAACACCGAGTAGGACAGTGTTATTTGTTAATATGGAACACTAATCTACACAATGATAATTTACTTTAACATTATATGAAGAAACACAAGGTAAGTATTTATGTGGCCAGTATCACACAGAAATCTGGCATACTAGAAACCTAAGAGCAGCTAGCAGAAGCTAGATATACACTAAATTCAACTCTACGCCCCAGTAACTACCTGCCTCACTTTCAAGTGTTCATAGTTTTACCCATTCATTCACCTTTCCCTCCAGGGCTGATGATAATTAGCACACTATCTTTTTTTCATCCCAGAGAAGAGACTAATCAGCACACACCCTTCTTTAGGACTTAATTTAGAACATGACCTAAACACAGGCTTACATACTCCAGCTCCACAGAGACAATTCTCTGATTTGGCACAGGTTTTTAAAGTAAAGGATCATCACCTCCAGCACTAAAATAGCAGCAAAGCCACATGCAGATGAAAAGAGA